AGGGCCGGGAGAAATAAGGAAACGGGTAGGAAGGACGCGGGTAGGCAGGCGCGAATGTAATTAAATTCCACTTTGAAGTGAAACTCACTTTCAGCAGTTAATAAGATTTTGATTCGCAGTCGGTGACGTAACGTAGCGCGCCCATCGTAGCTTTGGCAGGTAGGCGCTGCTCGCTCGCGACGACGAAGGAGGCACGGGACGGCAAGAAGGAGAAGTAACGGAAGTAGTATGCGAGAGAAGGAGCTTTACAATGTGCGAAGTCTGTGCTCCTTCGCTTCGAGCAAAGACCAAACCACCCACCGCCCGGCCTCTCCCGTCCTACGGTTCCACCGTTGCGTCGGAGCTCCGGTTCTTTGTCGAAAGCCAGGACGATGTTGCGCCAGCTTTCCGAGCTCTTTAATTAAAATTACGCAAACGCGCGCGCACCACGACGACAGTTTCCAACCGGTAGTCGGTTTATCACGTAGAACGCATTCGCGATCGCTCGCCAAGAATCCCAGGTATGTCATCCCAACAATTACAATACCTTTGACGAAATGAAGCGCGCGAAGTCTGAACGCAATCTCAAGCTTGATCTCTGGCTCTTCGCGAAGTTGACCTTCCGCATTAGGCAGGGTCGATCGAAACAACGTTAACCGCATCTCGGTCGCATCCATTTCTCCGAATCTCCCGAAACGAGTTCTAATTCTACGAGTTCCTATTCTCAGCCAGTGCTTAGAGCGCGAATCTTCCAGAGATAATTCCACCGCAATCCCAACCGCGACATTCGTCCTTGGACACTGGTATCAGAACGAAGTTACTCAGCGGGGATAGATGTGCTTGCCGTGGGGAAGGGCCTGATCGCTTATTCCGCGCAACTCCGCGGCATATCCCACGCCTCGATCTCGTCCCGGCAGAAACTTTCCCAACACGCTTCATCACCGCTCGCTGAGCCTCGGTCGAGTTTCATAACTAGCTAATCCGACCCGTAATAGAGAGATCAAGCAGAGCTCCAACGAGCGCGGCCGTGTATATATGTATACGTATATATATATATATATGTATAAATACAAACATACATACACATAATATATATATCGCTATACTGGTCTACGTGGCACCAAAATTACAGCGGAGAGGATATCGTTTCGGTAACTCTTATTCTAGCATCATCCGTCAGTAAAGCACTGGGATCAGTTACACGTCGGGAATGTAAACGCACGCGACCGGAATATCCTGTTAGCTATACACTTAACTCGCACAACTTCCGCCAACCGGTGACCTTCCGCAATGAGTAACGACGATCGAAAGTTATCAGCGATATCCACAGTCGCTCTTCGCTTCCATTCGCTACTCTTTCAACTGAAACTTTTCTTATCGGATAATGTTACCTATCTCGAAAGGTGATGGAAGATTTGTCGGTAACGAGGAGTCTAAAAAAAGAAGATCTTCGAGTTCTTAGGGAGACACGATCGCCATCATCCCCTCGTTGTTGTCGTCGTCGTCTTCGCCGTTGCTGTCATCGTCGTCGAAACGACGCACTGCGTTATCCCCCTCCCCCGTAGCTTTTCCTCAAGCCCTACACCATCCCGTCATCTCCCAGGGGTAAGAGGGGAACGACGATGGAGCTCTTCGTCCAATTATTTTTCCCTCGCTTCGAAACATTTCAACGCCACTTCAACGAACGAACTCGTTCTATTCTCATTGCCGCGCAACCCTCTCCGCTACCCTACGGCAGAACAGAACCGCGTCACTTCTTCCCCGGTTCGCTCCGATTCTCTGTCGGAGTTACGTCCCCTTCTAGCTGTGCGTACGCGATCCCAACTGGGCCCACCCCTTAACGCGAAGTCCGCATTATTTCAATAGCGCGAACAGCAATAATTCACCGCGCTAAGAAGATTATAAAATGTTTATGAATAATGGAACAAAGTATATATATATATATATATTCCGAGCGAGGTATACACTTGTCGAGGTAACACCACGCTATACTACGATAAAACGGAGACACCTTCTGTGGTAGCAACCGAACCACGTGTAAGTTGTGTGCGTCACGATTGCGCAACCGTGTGCCGTAAGCGCGATACGATTATTCAAACCGGGGAAACAATTCCGTGCATTAAGTCGTAATAACATTGCGCGCCGGTACTCCCGATCCTCTTTTGTCGCCAGGACTCGCAAAACGCGGTATTTGGTTCCCCCCCCCCCCCCCCCCGAGCACGAGAGAAGTACAATAGATCATGAGTTCGCGAGTTACTGCGCGAACAATGCAATTACGAGAAACATTATATCGTTCGCTTCAAGATCTCACCTTAAGGGATGCGGCGGATGCTAATTTACTCGGTTTTAACATCGAAATACTAACATAACGTCTATCGCTTTGTGCAGACTTAATGCTTCTGATGTGTCGCTGTAAACATATTACGATTAGTAATCTCGTAAGAATTAAAATGAAAGTTTGAATTGAGAGAGAACCAACTAAGAGCAAATGATATTTCTGCAATTAGCTGGTTGCTGAGTGTTCCATGTCAATATGTTCTTGCAGTCGATCCGTTAATAATGTATGCGTTTCATGGGCTACAAACGAATGTTTAGGGATTAAACACGAGCGACGTGTAATCGGCTGTTTCCTCAGCACGTTTGTATCAGTACGATTTATCATCGTGGTAATAGTTAGCACCCTTTAAATCGTCGCTCCAGTTCGCCGCATTATAGCACCATGTGGGTGGATGGGCACTCGCATTTACTCGCGCGAAATCATTTCCGATCATTTTCGATGGAGCTTTTGTTTTTGACTGCGCGACGTAAAGAGATTGCGATGGCCGCGTTAACGATATTGCTGACGGGAAATATGACGAATCAATAATTTCCTCAGCCTAGCATTTTATGATGGGGCATTAAACGAGCGATGGTTATCGGCGATTAATCGTTCGGCTGTCACTTGCACCGGCGCGTCCACGCGCGGTATGTATCGGTGCCTTAATACGCGCGGACAATTTGCGTTCTTTATCTTCGACACACACATGGAACGTATGCCTCCATTATTGCACAAGCACGGGATATATTACTGTCGAGAGGATTATAGGAAAAATATTCTACGCTTTACGGGTACACTCTCATTATCGCGAGGCTATAAACTTGTCCGTCCTCATTATCCTGCAGGACCGTGCAGTTATCAAGCTGTAATTCCATTAATGATTCTACTTATTACGACGCGATGCAAATTGTAGAATATAAACGTAGCGTTTCTGTGTGCTTCCAAGCTTCCAAGGCGCAATATACAAAACGAATATTAAGCGTGGTGTAAAAAAAAATAATCGGAATCGCGATAGAATTGCATATTATCTATATTACAATGATCGATCATCATTTATAGTGGTGCGA